TTCTCTGACGACTGCGATAACCCAATCACCTACCGGCTGACCGCCTCTCCAGCACATCCTATCTACGCTCTTTACTCTCCTCTGTTCGCCCGTATGTCTCTCAGCTTCCACTACCTCCCTGACCCTCTCCCTCCCCTCTTCATCCCCCGCTATCGCTCCGGTTCAACTCGCAAGCGCCTGCTTTTCTACTCTGCGCACGCTCCTCGCCCCAAGCGGCAACGGAGGCAGCAGCTCCTTCCTCCCCTCACACCCTCACCACTAGACACACTGCCCACACCACAATAAAAAGAACGTGTCCCGCACGCTCTAGTGCCTTGTCCACATTTTGTCCACCCATTTTTGTGTCTGCAGTTGTGCTCACTACGAGACATGGACCAGGGATTGGGTCTTGGGGGGGCAAGAAGACTGCCAGGAGAAAAGCTGGCGTACGCCATTAGTTCGTAGTGCACAAGATCGGGCATGGATAACAGGAGTGATGGTGGGCTTCCATCTTCAACTTCAGCCACCTGATCGTCCCCTTCTTCTCGCTTCCTCTTCATCTTCTGTTGGCTTGAGGCTCACAGATTTTCTTTTCCTGGAATTTATTCGTACCTCTTTGGGCGGTTACAACTCTGCACCGCGATGTTCGGATCAACAGCACGGCTCCCGGATTCTGCAGCGTCCCACACCAGTCAGGCGCGCTGCAAAGCGAGATCACCCGGCCGCCGTGCTTTTTCTCATAGCCCTTGGGCACACACGCCACCTGTCGGTCAACATACATTGCATCTGCATGTCGCCAGCATCAACAAAGTGCGCACGCAGAAACTGTGTGACGCACCTCCGCGATGTAGCCTCCGCTCCTCACAAGGAACTCGAGCCCGTTGTTACTGTTCCACCACTCGGTGACGTCTGGCATGTGCCGGATCAAATGTGCGATGTGAGCATGTAGCACACTCGAGGTCATGATAAACACCAAGGCCAATGGCTGCTTTCGGACCTGGTCCCCATAGATAGCCGAACAGGTCTTCGTTTGGCACCCAGCAGGGGCTGTCTTGGGGCTCCGAGAACAGGAGGTCGCACAGCGGTGCCTCATCCTCAGCCAACTCATTTCTGGTTGCGAGACGCGTCAGTAGAGTCATCACCATCGAGCCAGCCATCAGCCCCGTTCTGACGAACCTGGCCAGCGCGTCCATGTCGTTGAGCGTGTGCAGCTTAGGCGACATTCCATGATGCACACAGAACGTCTGCGGGTGGTCAACCATCACCAGTCGATTGGCACGACCTTAAGAAGATCGCTCTGGACGACTAAAGGCGGTAGGTACCCTTTCGTCGATCACCGCGGCCAGCGGGAGGCATTGGAAGGTCGACACCAGCAGCTTCCACGAGCGAACACTGCCGTACTTCTTGCACTCGTCGTAGAGGCCGTAGAGGCGCGACATGGAGGCGTT